GAATGGGGGTCTCAGAGTAGGCGACAGGGACAACAGAGAGCGATAACCGTGTTCTCATTCCGTAGTTTGAGGTCAACCAAGGGGCGGATTCTTTTGCCGTCTGCACTGGGTTGGATAAATATTAGTGCGTTACCTGATACTTCGGCTCGGTAAAGGACTACTCTTCTCTGTTGCTGATTTACCCAGTCACATAGTAGGTTTTTGTATGCGTCAGGGATGGAATAGGTTGCTTGGTTTTTTAGATTAGAGGGGTATCGAAGACGGATGTGGTGGTTCACTTCCTTCACAGGTAGTAGTTCTTCTGGGATCTGATTAGGGAAAACATCAGAGTACTCATCTAATAGGTATTAGGCTGTTGCATCACAGATTGTAGCTCAGTACTCTCCGGTTGTTTGTTTGCGTGAGACTCAGACATTCTGGTCGGGGAAGTCCATAGTAGATTCCCCACCTCGGATTCTAACCTTGTGGCAGTTTAGGAATGGCATCCTAATCAGGGTGTCATATTTGGCTAGGTTCCCAACTAGCATCTACTAATGAGGTAGGATAGTAGTCCAAAGTCAGATAGTTGCGCTGCATGTTTATTACTTGTAGATCGTGATCCTTTTACTGCTATATTGACTGGTATAGGCTGGTTAAGGTCTCGGGTTGGGAGTCCATGGACAGAGACTAAGGCGTTACTGATCATATCCCTTCCCATTGCGCCAGTATCGAACAAAACTCAGGCTTGTTGTCCATTAATTAGGATAGTACCATTCAGGGCGGTATGAGGTTTGAAGGTAGGTGGTGGTTGAACACTGCTACATACCACATCGACATATCCAATGTGGATTTCCTCATACTTGCTGGATTGGGCATCGTCACTATCGCTTTCGATGTTATTAGCAGATACTTCTTGTTTGATAGACTTTCCTTTTTGGTTCTTGATAGGGCAATTATTTGCCATGTATCCGGTCTTTCCACATTCAAAGTATTCACCCGTCTGACGTCTCGACTCTTTGGTGGACTTTGTTTTCTTCTTGTAAACTCGGAGTGTTTCTTGTTCAGAATAGTTGGAGAGTTTGTGTCGAGATTGTCTGTTACTGTGTGAGGAAGACTGAGTTTTGGGGAGTATAGCATGTTTTTTTTTTTCAGCCTTGTAGATTATTGTTCCTATGTCGTGATTGTCTTCTTGAAGAGGTTCCACTTCTCTGCGGAGGATAGGGTTCATAGCATCATTGAATCGTTACTTTAGGATAAAACTAGAGATGCTTCCTGACTTCATTCGGTCCCTATAGATCAGGAGGTCGGTGGCTACATTCGTGATTCGCTTTACATGTCCTCCATTGACTTGCTGCAGCTTGTTGAATTTCGTGTATAACAAGTCATTTGTAAGGGAGGATTTGAAATGATGTTTGGGGTATTCGAGTACTATTATTACTCTTAGTTTCCAGTTTCCGGCGTACTCCTTATAGCATTAGTGGTAGGCGTCTGTTGTCTTTCCTTCACAGAATGATCCTATGTATAGTCCTGATGTGGGTTTCTCCACATCTACCTTCTTCAGGAGGAGGTAGTGTGCAAGCGCTGTTGCTCACCGATAAAAGGCTTCTGGTTTGAGGTCTTTTCCTTTACTTGTGAACTTTAGAGGTAAATGGAACTTGAGACCAAGGATATTGGATAATTTGAGATCTTCTTCTTCTTCTTCCTGTCTTGCCCTTGACTTCCCACTTCAAGATGGTCCTCCTTCTCCTTTGCTAGCCATATCTGATTCGCTACTAGATATGGAGTCATAATGAGATTCGATGGTAGGTTTCTTTGCAGGCGTAAGGGGAGGAACTTCTTGAGATTGGGGGGCTTCAATGTTTGTAGATTCTGCATGCTCTTTAGCAGAGTGTCGAGGTGCTTTCTTTCCTGAAAGGTCTTTGCGTAGTATTCACATCCAGCTTCTGGTTGTCAATGACTCTATGTTGGTGTTCAGACAAAGCCGAATGTACTTTGATTCTGAGGCTTCTCTCCACTAGCGTTCTTGTAACCAGTACGGGTACTCGGTTATTGGTTATGTTTTATGTTTTGTTTTAAGTACCGCTTTGATACTTGGTTTGTTTTAAGTATCGTTTGATACTTGGTTTTGTTTTATGTTTTGTTTCAAGCATCGCTTTGATACTTGGTTTGTTTTAAGTATCATTTGATGCTTGGTTTTGTTTTATGTTTTGTTTTAAGTATCGCTTTGATACTTGGTTTATTTTAAGTATCGTCTGATACTTGGTTTTGTTTTATGTTTTGTTTTAAGTATCGCTTTGATACTTGGCTTGTTTTAAGTATCGTTTGATACTTTGTTTTGTTTTATGTTATATTTTAAGTATCGTTTTGATACTTAAATTAGTTTTACCAAAGTGTATCAATTGATACCTTTGATTAGTTTCGTTCATACTCGACATGAACAGATTTATGTATTTAAAGACCGCCTGATTCCACAAGGAAAAAGGCAGACTTTGACAGACAATATTTCAATATACTTGGTTGAACGGTTACTTCTTTGTTCCTCAGTACACTTTCGAAATCTCCTTTAGTTCTCAGCTCTTTTCTCCTCTCCTGTAGAGTAGACCACCTGCCAATTATCGTATCTTTACCGATAACGTGACTAGCACCTTGCGAACAAGTTACACCTCCCATGTACTTATTGTAATATATTATTGCTGTAGGAACTACAAGTTCTTATACTGGTAATTCCTCACACACTTCATCAATCATATTACAGTACATATTTTGATTTTTTGATCAGCACAGTTGGCAGCCTGGATGAGT